GCGAGGGACTAAACAAGAGAAAAAACCCTGTAGACGCGCAAAAACTCAGTCTTTCCAACAGTATGCGTTTGACCTTTTATTTCCAAAACAAAAACATTCCATAACCATATGCGTAGGCCTATATTCCTTTATGCGTAGGTGCCTGCGTGCGGTCAACAAAAATGGTCCTTCTCTAGCTCACTCCCCCTCCATCTATTACAAAGTGCGCAGGTAAAAGCAACCGGATATAACCACAAACGTCACCACACAAATCCAATGACACGCCCACCACCTATAGTGACTCAAAAACATGCCTCGTAACAAACACAGACAAATACTTCAAATGTGGCTCCTACATTCCGGCCCCTAATTATATCAACATAATAATTACACAACTGAAAAATGATGTAGGAGACAATCAAGGAAAAATTGATAAAAACGTCCTTTGTTAAAGTGTCCTTTTCTTCTTTAGGCAAAAAATAGAAAATAAAATAAAAAATATATAGTTTGTTAGCCTATGAAGGAGTGATCTTTACTATCACTTAGTAAAAAAGTCGGAAAAAAACGTCAATGTCAAGGTCTATGAAGCTCAGTAACCCACTCATTTCCTCACGGCTCTTCTGCTTCCTGTAGAAGGCAGATCTTTGTGATAGGCCTGTCCAGATAGCTAGTTTTTGTTTTTTCTGTGCCTCTCCCGTCCTGGGAGTCATCGACTATGAGCACAATATCTCCTGGTATGAAGTTGCGCTTGACATTTGACCACTTCTGTCGTTCCTGGAGTAGAGGCAAGTACTAAGGATTAAGGAATCCATCGTTTCCAAAACAAGTCTGAGATGTACTGAACTTGTTTCCATCTTCGACGAGCATATACAGTGGGGAAAAAAAGTATTTAGTCAGCCACCAATTGTGCAAGTTCTCCCACTGAAAGAGATGAGAGGCCTGTAATGTTCATCCTCACTTCAACTATGAGAGACAGGATGGGGGGAAAGAATCCAGGAAATCACATTGTAGGATTTTTAAAGAATTTATTTGCAAATGATGGTGGAAAATAAGTATTTGGTCAATAACAAAAGTTCATCTCAATACTTTGTTATATACCCTTTGTTGGCAATGACAGAGGTCAAACGTTTTCTGTAAGTCTTCACAAGGTGTTCACACACTGTTGCTGGTATGTTGGCCCATTCCTCCATGCAGATCTCCTCTAGAGCAGTGATGTTTTGGGGCTGTCGCTGGGCAACACAGACTTTCAACTCCCTCCAAAGATTTTCTATGGGGTTGAGATCTGGAGACTGGCTAGGCCACTCCAGGACCTTGAAATGCTTCTTACGAAGCCACTCCTTCGTTGCCCGGGCGGTGTGTTTGGGATCATTGTCATGCTGAAAGACCCAGCCACGTTTCATCTTCAATGCCCTTGCTGATGGAAGGAGGTTGTCACTCAAAATCTCACGATACATGGACCCATTCATTGTTTCCTTTACACGGATCAGTGGTCCTGGTCCCTTTGCAGAAACACAGCCCCAAAGCATGATGTTTCCACCCCCATGTTTCACAGTAGATGTTCTTTGGATGCAACTCAGCATTCTTTCTCCTCCAAACACGTCTAGTTGAGTTTTTACCAAAAAGTTCTATTTTGGTTTCATCTGACCATATGACATTCTCCCAATCCTCTTCTGGATCATCTAAATGCTCTCTAGCAAACTTCAGACGGGCCTGGACATGTACTGGCTTAAGCAAGGGGGACACGTCTGGCACTGCAGGATTTGAGTCCCTGGCGGCGTAGTGTGTTACTGATGGTAGCCTTTGTTACTTTGGTCCCAGCTCTCTGCAGGTCATTGACTCGGCCCCCCCGTGTGGTTCTGGGATTTTTGCTCACCGTTCTTGTGATCATTTTGACCCCACGAGGTGAGATCTTGCGTGGAGCCCCAGATCGAGGGAGATTATCAGTGGTCTTGTATGTCTTCCATTTTCTAATAATTGCTCCCACAGTTGATTTCTTCACACCAAGCTGCTTACCTATTGCAGATTCAGTCTTCCCAGCCTGGTGCAGGTCTACCATTTTGTTTCTGGTGGCCTTTGACAGCTCTTTGGTCTTGGCCATAGTGGAGTTTGGAGTGTGACTGTTTGAGGTTGTGGACAGGTGTCTTTTATACTGATAACGAGTTCAAACAGGTGCCATTAATACAGTTAACGAGTGGAGGACAGAGGAGGCTCTTAAAGAAGAAGTTACAGGTCTGTGAGAGCCAGAAATCTTGTTTGGTTGTAGGTGACCAAATACTTATTTTACCGAGGAATTTACCAATTCATTCATTAAAATCCTACAATGTGATTTCCTGGATTCTTTCCCCCCATTCTGTCTCTCATAGTTGAAGTGTTCCTAGGATGAACATTACAGGCCTCTCATCTTTTTAAGTGGGAGAGCTTGCACAATTGGTGGCTGACTAAATACTTTTTTGCCCCACTGTATGTCCTATTTATGAAACAGTCCAGGTGGAAAAGATGGCTTGGTTTTTTAGCAGCAAAAGATGGTTAGGGGTTAGTGCTTCCAATTCATTGGGATCTGTGGATGCTCTTGGACACGCCCAGCTGTCTTCATTCTCCGCAGCTCGCCGGTGTACCAAGGGGCTGAGCGCGAGAAGGAGACCATCCTGGTTTTGAGGGGGACGTGCAGATCAAGGAGACTGTTAAGGGACTGGTTGTAATATGCCACTGATTCATTTGCTGATGAGAAGTTGGCGGAAGAAAGATGCTGGAGGTCCAGGGTCATGGTGTCTGGGTTGATGTTCCTCAGGTTCCTGAAGCGGATTTGGCGTTTGGGCTCGCAGAGTGGGGATTGGAAAGAGAGCTCCATAGAGATGGTCTTGTGGTCAGACACCCCCAGGTCATACACTAGCAGATTGCTGATGGGGGCGGAGTTTGTGATGACCAGATCGAGCGTGTGGCCCTTGGCGTGTGTGGGGACATTAACATGCTGTGTGAGATTGAGGCAGTCCAGAAGTAGCAGACACTTAGTGGCGGGAGAGGGAGTCAACGTGAATATTAAAATCTCCAAGTATGATAATGTTGGCAGAGGTTGTGCATAGCGTCGTGAGAAGGTCTTGTATCTCTGGGATGAAAGCTGAGTTGGGTTTGGGTGGCCGGTAGATCAGAAGTATTGTCAGGGCGAAGGGGGGTTTACATTTAAATGCAAGGCATTCAAAAGAGGACAATACAGGCAGGAGCAGGAGTGACAGTTCCAATTCCTTTCAGTAGATAACAGCTAGGCCTCCACCACGACCAGTGCTGCGGGCTTTCTCCAAGTAGCTGTAGCCAGGAGGGCAAGCTTCAACCCGTTGCTGCAGATACACGCTTTACAACATCAGGAAGATACGTCCCCAGCTGACACAGAAAGCGACTCAGGTTCTGGTCCAGGCTCTCGTCATCTCACGCCTAGACTACTGCAACTCCCTCCTGGCTGGTCTACCTGCATGTGCCATCCGACCTCTGCAGCTCATCCAGAATGCAGCGGCTCGTCTGGTCTTCAACCTTCCTAAATGTTCCCACACCACTCCGCTCCTCCGCTCCCTTCACTGGCTTCCGGTAACTGCTAGAATCCACTTCAAGACACTGGTACTTGCTTACCGTGCTGCGAATGGATCTGGCCCTTCCTACATCCAGGACATGGTTAAACCGTACACCCCAGCATGTGCACTACGCTCTGCATCAGCCAAACGACTCGCTGCACCCTCGCTGCGAGGGGGACCCAAGTTCCCATCGGCAAAAACACGTGGGTTTGCTGTCCTGGCTCCAAGATGGTGGAATGAGCTCCCCATTGACATCAGGACAGGCAGATAGCTTGCACATCTTCCGGCGCAAACTGAAAACTCATCTCTTTCGACTCCACTTCGAGCGTTAGAACTATTAACGAAGCACTTTTATACTAATAAAGGACTGGCTTACCTAAAGCCAGTTGAGTAGCACTTGAAATGTTTGGCTCTATGAAACCTGATGTACTTTATGATTCTGTTTTCTTCAAGGTTGTGTCTTCCTGGTCGAATGTACTTATTGTAAGTCGCTTTGGATAAAAGCCTCAGCTAAATGTGATGTAATGTAATGTAATGTAATTGAGGGTGGAGTAAACCTCTGGCTGATGCCAGGTTTCCGGGAGGCACATGAAGTCCATTTTCTCATCAGTGATGTGGTCTTGAATGAAGGATGCTTTATTACTGAGGGATTGTGTATTCAGAAGTTCTATTTTGGCTTTGGAAGATGTGGTGAATCTCTGTAGGGGCCGGAGTAGGCTGTAATCCACTCCACGTTTTCCAGACTCCTTCGTGTGTGGCGGTCTCGCGATGCTCTCCGTGTATTCATGCAGCGGTCTCGCGATGTTTCTGGTGCGATTTGACCCCGCCGTGAACGGGCTCTGATGACGCGTCAGATGTGCGACACGACGGCAGACAGAGTGGATGGATGGAATATCTGCATCTCCGTGCTGGGAATATACAGTTTGTCTTCTTCTTTGGCTTCGGTGGATATAGCGATGGCGACGAAGAAGTCCAAGTTGTTTAATGACTGAGGTGCCGGTTGGAGCGTTTGAGTGGTTGAAACTCAGGAGTTGGGGAATAGAAAACCTCAACATGTCAACAGGTCGGGCGCCGAAGAAGTTTGGTAGTGGTGCTTAGCAGCGAGGGCTAACAGCAACGAGACAGCTGGAAGGCTATCCCGATAGTATACCTCGCGTCTGGGAATGAAACAGAGGATTGGGAGTCCGCCTGCTATCACAGTAGTAGCGGGAGAGAGGCAAGCAGTCAGCCGGAGATAGTCGGCAAATTTGGGCGATACAGCAGGTGAGTCCCGGCAGCCGTCGGGCCCAAAACCGTCAATAATCACGAGGTTTAAGATATAAAAGCACTTATGTTAAACAGACTCAAAGTTTAGCCATATAGCTTAAAAGCAGATAAAATAGCTTAAAAGCAGATAAAAACTCTGAGGCGTAGGAGAAGCGGCGAACAAACAAGCGCCAGCGGCCTCTCCCGTAATTCCAATACTTGTCCACGTTTTGCGATGAAGCGTCGAAGAGCATTAACAAAGGAATCTGTATCCAAGGGATGAAGCTACTTCGATGTGGATGGCTCTTACTGTTAAGCATGTGAAGAGAACACCATACTTTTTAACTGTACTCCTTCCTCGCTTGGCCTCAAAAGGTCAAATAGTCAACTCCAACACGAGTGAATGGAGGTTCATCTGGAGAAACTCTGTCTCGAGGTAAATCTGCCATTTGCTGCATTCCTGGAGCTCCATTTAGTCGCCGACAAACAATACATTTTGACAGGGTTTTCCTTATAGCCACACTAGCACCAGGAATCCAGTATCTTTGTCGCAGGCTAGATAGCATGTGGTTACGACCACCGTGTCCCACATCTTGGTGTACTTGCCGTAGAATGATGTCAGAAATGTTAAGATATTTTGCCAATATAGCAGGATGTTTAGATTCTTCAGGCATTGCTGCTCTACTGAGACGTCCTCCCACTCTCAGAACACCATCTTCAAGTACTGGGTTGAGCTTGTAGATGTGACTAGTCGTTTTCACACCTTCTCCCTTTTGCAAGCCTTTGATTTCATCAGGAAACCTTTTTCTTTGGCAAAAGCAGATCATTTCTTTCTCAGCTTTTCGGAGGTCCTCAATAGAAAGAAAACCAGAGACCACCTGAGCCTTGATAGTCTGCATTTCCTTTTTCATCTCTCGGTCTTGTTGTTCCTTATTCAAGCCAGACTGAGCAAGAGTCAGACTCAATTGCTTCCTCTTCCGACCAAGGCACAGCAGCAGGTTTTTCAACCTAAGGATCCAACCAACTGTCTTCTTCAGGTGGATCCAAGAAGAGAAGTGGTTGATCAATCGGGTTACAGCATCCATCTCTTTTTCAACCTGCACAGCGTTCACATTCAGACTTATCTGGACCTCAGGGTCTTCTGGTGCCATTTCAGAGCCATCAGGGTTCACAGGCCACTGTTCTTCAGGTCCAGTGAGAAACTGAGGTCCAGACACCCATGTGTCATCTTTCAGGAGCGTTTCCACTTTGACTTCCCTGGAAGCCCAGTCGGCAGGATTGCTTGCGGTGGGAACATATCTCTACTGAGATGGATTTGATATGCTGCGTATTTTTGAAACCCTGTTTGCGACGAAGGTTCGAAACCTTAAGGTCTCATTACTGATGTACTTCATTACGGAAGTACTATCAGTCCAAAAGATGGAGTCTTTAAGTTGCATTTTCAGCTCCTTCCTACACATCTTGTCCATACGACTTGCAACCACGGCAGCCGTCAATTCCATTCGAGGGATGGTTATTGGTTTCAATGGGGCCACTCTAGCTTTTCTCATAATGAAGTCACGGTGCACTTGTCCTTTGATGTTATGTAATAACAGGTAAGTCACTGTTCCATAGCCGTCTTCGCTTGCATCTGCGAAGTGGTGTAGCTGAGCAGAGGTCACTTCCCCAAAATCCACCAGTTTTAGGCATCTGTCAACTTTAAACTCTTCGAGATTGCAGAGCTCCTTCAGCCAATTTTTCCACTCTTGTGCAGCTGAGGCTGGTATAATATCATCCCAACCAAGTTCTCTTCTGCACAAGTCTTTAAGAATCATCTTGGCTGATAGGACCACAGGTGCCAATATTCCTAATGGGTCAAACATAGAGCTGACCATGGAATGCTGCTTGGTGATTGGGTTGCGTTGGTGCTGTAACTGTGGATGTGATTGTGATGAACGCACTTCATTTTAGCCCTTGATGCGGCTATTTCCACTTCCATTTCTAATTGCTCCCTCTTTTTCCTGAGCTCTTCCTTCTTTTTCCTGAGCTCTTCCTCTTGTTCATCCAATGCATGCTTGTCTTTTAATAACATTTGTCGTGCCATGAGAGCGGCCATGTCAGCCTCAGCTTTGATGCATGATGATGTAGTTGAAACACTGGATCTGGTTCCAGCAGAGCTCCGCTTGCAAGACCCACTGCTTCCTCTGTTTGAAACACTGTCGCTTGGTTTTATTTCCTCTTGTGCTTCAGAAGTTTCAACATTTTCCCCAGAGTGTTTTGAAACACGAGACATACTTTGTTGGTGTTCATCAGATATCTCAATTGAGGGAACATGGTGCTGCTCGGTTGTCTCCCAGTTTCAGAAAGCCATTGCTTGACATCGATAAATCCATTATTGTATTTCAGTGTCTTGGCAAAGCATACATTTTGTTTTTCCTGTTGCTCTGCAGGAAGAAGAGGAATTACAGACTCGTGTAACAGGGTGGTTTCGATAAGTGAACCTTTGATTGAGGTTCCTTTTGAAGCTTTTCCATTGTATTTGCCAAAGCCTTGGCAGTGAGCATCGACTCTTTTGTTCATCCATTTTTGCCACATTGACATCTGAATTTGATCCACTTATTGACAGATCCCTTTAATGTTTTAATGAATGAACAACAAATGCTCCAATCCACACAACCTCTAGCGGCACAAACCAACCAACACACGCAAGCAACAAGTCCGTCCCCAATGGACATGCAGCAGTAACTTATTCACACTGTGTTCTAACAAACATTTACACAGCATGAATGAAGAACCGCTCGCTGATGCCGTGTGGATTGTCCGTCAGTCTTTCTTTATCCTCCCGGCAGTACGCTGAAGTTTCCTTAAGCCGCTCTCCAATACAGCGGCCAACACGGCATTTCAATGTTTCCTTTTAATTCCACAGCGTCACAGATCGATCCTAGAAATCTCTGTATCCTCGATTTCCGTAGATCCACGCTGTGGTACAAGTCTTTTTTGTTGACTTAATATTGCGGCAGTAATATCCAAACAAAGTGCCGCGAGGGACTAAACAAGAGAAACAACACTGTGGACGCGCACAAACTCAGTCTTTCCACCAGTATGCGTTTGACCTTTTATTTCCAAAACAAAAACATTCCATATGCGTAGGCCTATATTCCTTAATGCGTGCGTGCGTGCGTGCTTGCGTGCGTGCGTGCTTGCGTGCTTGCGTGCGTGCGTGCTTGCGTGCGTGCGTGCGTGCTTGCGTGCGTGCATGCTTGCGTGCGTGCGGTCAACAAAAATGGTCCTTCTCTAGCTCACTCCCCCTCCATCTATTACAAAGTGCGCAGGTAAAAGCAACCGGATATAACCACAAACCTCAACACACAAATCCAATGACACGCCCACCACCTATAGTGACTCAAAAACATGCCTCGTAACAAACACAGAAAAATACTTCCATCCAGGAGAGCTCCATTGGAAGCCATCTGGAAAGGGCAGGCACTTTCAAAAAGACTTGGCAGGTGATTGGATCAATCTGTCTATGACCTTCTATCATGGGCCACTTCTGATTGGTTAACAATGGCTGGTACATGTGGAGCACAGCACTTCTGATTGGTTAACAATGGCTGGTACATGTGGAGCACAGCACTTCTGATGTGTGGATGACTGACACACAAGAAGAAGAAAAAAAAAAAAAGTAAAAAAAAAACGTTATACTCGCATCATTTCAAATCGCGATTTCGATTTTTTTATTTAACCTTTATTTAACCAGATAAAAGCATTGAGATAGAATCTCATTTGCAAAGCTGACCTGGCCAAGAAGGCAGCAACGTGACACAAAACACAAACATATAAAATACAGAGAACACAACTAAGAAAACAAAAGAGGAAAAAGCAGTCACGGGGGGGAGGGGAGGGAGTGGTACTGTGTATAGTGTGTTTTTAAACGTGTCTGCGTACAGGACGACTGTAGCCGCGTAGGGGGGGAGTGGTACTATGTATAGTGTGTATTTATACGTGTCTCTGCGTACAGGACGACTGTAACCGCGGAGGGGGGGGGGGGGGATTGGTACTGTGTGTAGTGTGTATTTATACGTGACTGCGTACAGGACGACTGTAACCGCGGAGGGGGGGGGGGGATTGGTACTGTGTGTAGTGTGTATTTATACGTGACTGCGTACAGGACGACTGTAACCGCGGAGGGGGGGGGGGGGGATTGGTACTGTGTGTAGTGTGTATTTATACGTGACTGCGTACAGGACGACTGTAACCGCGGAGGGGGGGGGGGATTGGTACTGTGTGTAGTGTGTATTTATACGTGTCTCTGCCTACAGGACGACTGTAACCGCGGAGGGGGGGGGGGAGTGGTACTGTGTGTAGTGTGTATTTATACGTGTCTCTGCGTACAGGACGACTGTAACCGAGGGGGGGGGGGGGGATTGGTACTGTGTGTAGTGTGTATTTATACGTGTCTCTGCCTACAGGACGACTGTAACCGCGGAGGGGGGGGGGGAGTGGTACTGTGTGTAGTGTGTATTTATACGTGTCTCTGCCTACAGGACGACTGTAACCGCGGAGGGGGGGAGTGGTACTGTGTGTAGTGTGTATTTATACGTGTCTCTGCCTACAGGACGACTGTAACCGCGGAGGGGGGGGGGGGATTGGTACTGTGTGTAGTGTGTATTTATACGTGTCTCTGCCTACAGGACGACTGTAACCGCGGAGGGGGGGGAGTGGTACTGTGTGTAGTGTGTGTATTTATACGTGTCTCTGCGTACAGGACGACTGTAACCGCGGAGGGGGGGGGGGTTTGGTACTGTGTGTAGTGTGTATTTATACGTGTCTCTGCCTACAGGACGACTTGTAACCGCGGAGGGGGGGAGTGGTACTGTGTGTAGTGTGTATTTATACGTGTCTCTTGCCTACAGGACGACTGTAACCGCGGAGGGGGGGGGGGGGATTGGTACTGTGTGTAGTGTGTATTTATACGTGTCTCTGCGTACAGGACGACTGTAACCGCGGAGGGGGGGGGGGGATTGGTACTGTGTGTAGTGTGTATTTATACGTGTCTCTGCCTACAGGACGACTGTAAACCGCGGAGGGGGGGAGTGGTACTGTGTGTAGTGTGTATTTATACGTGTCTCTGCCTACAGGACGACTGTAACCGCGGAGGGGGGGGGGGGAGTGTACTGTGTGTAGTGTGTATTTATACGTGTCTCTGCGTATCAGGACGACTGTAACCGCGGAGGGGGGGGGGGATTGGTACTGTGTGTAGTGTGTATTTATACGTGACTGCGTACAGGACGACTGTAACCGCGGAGGGGGGGGGGGGGGAGTGGGTACTGTGGTAGGGTGTATTTATACGTGTCTCTGCTACAGGACGACTGTAACCGCGGAGGGGGGGGGGGGGGAGTGGTACTGTGTGTAGTGTGTATTTATACGTGACTGCGTACAGGACGACTGTAACCGCGGAGGGGGGGAGTGGTACTATGTATAGTGTGATTTATACGTGTCTCTGCGTACAGGGACGACTGTACCGCGGAGGGGGGGGGGATTGGTACTGTGGTAGTGTGTATTTATACGTGTCTCTGCCTACAGGACGACTGTAACAGCGGAGGGGGGGGGACGATTGGTACGTGTGTAGTGTGTATTATACGGTCTCTGCGTACAGGACGACTGTAACCGCGGAGGGGGGGAGTGGTACTATGTATAGTGTGTATTTATACGTGTCTCTGCGTACAGGACGACTGTAACCGCGGAGGGGGGGAGTGGTACTATGTATAGTGTGTATTTATACGTGTCTCTGCCTACAGGACGACTGTAACCGCGGAGGGGGGGGGGGGGAGTGGTACTGTGTGTAGTGTGTATTTATACGTGTCTCTGCGTACAGGACGACTGTAACCGCGGAGGGGGGGGGGGGGGAGTGGTACTGTGTGTAGTGTGTATTTATACGTGACTGCGTACAGGACGACTGTAACCGCGGAGGGGGGGGGGGGGGGAGTTGGTACTGTGTGTAGTGTGTATTATACGTGTCTCTGCCTACAGGACGACTGTAACCGCGGAGGGGGGGGGGGGGGAGTGGTACTGTGTGTAGTGTGTATTTATACGTGTCTCTGCCTACAGGACGACTGTAACCACGGAGGGGGGGAGTGGTACTATGTATAGTGTGTATTTATACGTGTCTCTGCGTACAGGACGACTGTAACCGCGGAGGGGGGGGGGGGGATGGTACTGTGTGTGAGTGTGTATTTATACGTGTCTCTGCGTACAGGACGACTGTAACCCGCGGAGGGGGGGAGTGGTACTATGTATAGTGTGTATTTATACGTGTCTCTGCGTACAGGACGACTGTAACCGCGGAGGGGGGGGGGGGGGGGGTGGTACTGTGTGTAAGTGTGTATTTATACGTTGTCTCTGCCTACAGGACGACTGTAACCGCGGAGGGGGGGGGGGGGGGTGGTACTGTGTGTAGTGTGTATTTATACGTGTCTCTGCCTACAGGACGACTGTAAGCGCGGAGGGGGGGGGAGTGGGTACTATGTATAGTGGTGTATTTATACGTGGTCTCTGCGTACAGGACGACTGTAACCGCGGAGGGGGGGGGGGGATTGGTACTGTGTGTAGTGTGTATTTATACGTGTCTCTGCGTACAGGACGACTGTAACCGCGGAGGGGGGGAGTGGTTACTATGTATAGTGTTGTATTTATACGTGTCTCTGCGTACAGGACGACTGTAACCGCGGAGGGGGGGGGGGGGGGGAGTGGTACTGTGTGTAGTGTGTATTTATACGTGTCTCTGCCTACAGGACGACTGTAACCGCGGAGGGGGGGGGGGGAGTGGTACTGTGTGTAGTGTGTATTTATACGTGTCTCTGCCTACAGGACGACTGTAACCGCGGAGGGGGGGGGGGGAGTGGTACTGTGTGTAGTGTGTATTTATACGTGTCTCTGCCTACAGGACGACTGTAACCGCGGAGGGGGGGAGTGGTACTATGTATAGTGTGTATTTATACGTGTCTCTGCGTACAGGACGACTGTAACCGCGGAGGGGGGGGGGGGGGGGATTGGTACTATGTATAGTGTGTATTTATACGTGTCTCTGCGTACAGGACGACTGTAACCGCGGAGGGGGGGGGGGGGGATTGGTACTGTGTGTAGTGTGTATTTATACGTGACTGCGTACAGGACGACGTAACCGCGGAGGGGGGGGGGGGATTGGTACTGTGTGTAGTGTGTATTTATACGTGTCTCTGCCTACAGGACGACTGTAACCGCGGGGGGGGGGGAAGTGGATCATCCGGCTCAGGAAGGGACTGGCCAGTCGCTTCTGGGAGAACATCGTGCTGGCGATGGTGGGCGAGCAGTTCATGGTGGGGGAGGAGATCTGTGGCGCCGTGGTATCAATACGCTTCCAGGTACTACCAACTGTAGTAATACTGCAGTACTAACACTACTACCATAACATCACTTACGCTTCCAGGTTCTACCAACTGTAGTAACCAGGGATGCAAACTTGTCACCTTTCGGCAAAATTCGCCGTTTTGTACCCAAAATAGGTCGTTTGTGTGATTCATGTAGATCTGCAATAAAAATATTTTTGGGGTACGGGAGGGGTCTGGGACCCGGAGTAATCTGCGGCCGCGAGCTGTTATGTGCCATCATACACGCATGGTGTTCTTTTTGTATATATTATAATGAAGCGCGAGCTGTGTGCTCGAGTCTTCCTGCCTGGCGGCTCTGCTGCTCCGCGATGATGGTCTAGCTTCAGCAGCCACATTACGGGTGCGTTCGTTAATATGAACTGTGCGGTCCGGAGTCACTGTGGCACAGACTGGACCGCTGGTGAACAGCTGTTAGAACGGGCGTTCAGGTGTTCAGAGCAGAGCTCCCTGTCGGAGGGCAGAGCGTGATGTAAACTGAGAAGTTTTTCTGTCGCAATATTATCGTTGAGCTAGCTAGCTAGCATACATTGTCACTATGTGCTAACGTTAGCTTTAGCCTTCGTTTTCTAATAGTTATTTTTTCATAGGCTATAAACGGAGGTGGTATAGGTCTTGTACTTGAGTAAAAGTAGAAATACTCAGATCTTGTACTTGAGTAAAAGTAGAAGTACTCAGATCTTGTACTTGAGTAAAAGTAGAAGTACTCAGATCTTGTACTTGAGTAAAAGTAGAAGCCCTCAGATTTGTACTAGAGTAAAAGTAGAAGTACTCAGATCTTGTACTTGATTAAAAGTAGAAGAAATACTCAGATCTTGTACTTGAGTAAAAGTAGAAGTACTCAGATCTTGTACTTGAGTAAAAGTAGAAGTACTCAGATCTTGTACTTGAGTAAAAAGTAGAAGTACTCAGATCTTGTACTTGAGTAAAAGTAGAAGTACTCAGATCTTGTACTTGAGTAAAAGTAGAAGTACTCAGATCTTGTACTTGAGTAAAAGTAGAAGTACTCAGATCTGTGTACTTGAGTAAAAGTAGAAGTACTCAGATCTTGTACTTGAGTAAAAGTAGAAGTACTCAGATCTTGTACTTGAGTAAAAGTAGAAGCTCAGATCTTGTACTGAGTAAAAGTAGAAGTACTCAGATCTTGTACTTGAGTAAAAGTAGAAGTACTCAGATCTTGTACTTGAGTAAAAGTAGAAGTACTCAGATCTTGTACTTGAGTAAAAGGAGAAGTACTCAGATCTTGTACTTGAGTAAAAGTAGAAGTACTCAGATCTTGTACTTGATAAAAGTAGAAGTACTCAGATCTTGTACTTGAGTAAAAGTAGAAGTACTCAGATCTTGTACTTGAGTAAAAGTAGAAGTACTCAGATCTTGTACTTGAGTAAAAGTAGAAGTACTCAGATCTTGTACTTGAGTAAAAGTAGAAGTACTCAGATCTTGTACTTGAGTAAAAGTAGAAGTACTCAGATCTTGTACTTGAGTAAAAGTAGAAGTACTCAGATCTTGTACTTGAGTAAAAGTAGAAGTACTCAGATCTTGTACTTGAGTAAAAGTAGAAGTACTCAGATCTTGTACTTGATAAAGTAGAAGTACTCAGATCTTGTACTTGAGTAAAGTAGAAGTACTC